GCTGTCCCCCCTCAGCCCCACGGCCCCACGCTGTCCCACCACGGGCCCATGCCATCCCCTCATGTCCCCACGCTCTACCGCCACAGCCCCACACTGTCCCTTCATGCGCCCCCACACTGTCCCCTCACAGACCCACTCTGTCCCTTCACACACCCACAGCCCCACGCTGTCCCGCCATGAGCCCATGCCATCCCCTCATGTCCCCATGCTCTCCCGTCACAACTCCACACTGTCCCCTCACAGACCCACACTGTCCCCTCATGGACCCACGCTGTACGTTCACGGATCCAGGGACCCTGTGCTGTCCTCTCACAGAACCACCCTGTCCCCTCATGGACCCACGCTGTCCCCTCACGCATCTCCACGCTGTCCCCTCACAGACCCACCCTGTCCCCTCACAGACCCACGCTGTCCCCTCACAGACCCATGCTGTCCCCTCACAGACCCATGCTGTCCCCTCACAGATCCAGGGACCCTGTACTGTCCCCTCACGGACCCACACTATCCCCTCACAGCCCCACACTGTCCCCTCACAGCCCCACACTGTCCCCTCACAGACCCACAGCCTTCCTGCCATCCCGCTACTCCTCGCCTCCACCATCCTGGCCATGGGCTGACCCAGCTCCTTGTCCCTGACATCCAGGGCAGGACAAGCCATGGCATGGAGCAAGGGAGAGTAAACCACTCACTTGCTGGGAATCACCAATTTTCCCGTTTTCCAATTTTCCTTGTGTTTTTAGCCCTGCCTGATCCTCACCGGAATGGCGGAGGCAAACCAGGCATTGCAGTCTTGCTGCTCCCTCCTGCAAATAAGGCAGGGTGGGGCATTATTTAAAACCGTTCTTTTTCCCAGTTAAACTGTCCCCATATTTCCACTGGTGGCCACTTCCAGCACATCTCACAGCACCACCTAAATATTACGGCCATGCTTTCATTTTTAAGAAAAATAGCAAACACTGGAACACAAGATTCCCAATCTTTAATTCCCAACCCCATCCCATTTGTGTCCCGTTTTTAATACAGCTTCGCAGTAAGCTGTATAGCACGGATATATCTGTATTGTTTTCTAAATACTTCTCCACAATAAAATTAATTTAGAATCATAGAATCGTTTTGGTTGGAAAAGACCTTTAAGATCAAGTCCAACCGTTAACCTAACCCTGCCATCCCACCACTAACCACTTAAAATCTGATAAAGCCTTTGAGGTGGTTTTGAAGGGTTTTGTTTTTCCCTTTCAGTGTGGCTTACACTACATTTTATTTGCCATGTTTCTTGTTTACCTGGTCCTGGCTGGTTTATAGCGTGGTCCCGCGTGGGGGCTGGCTGGCTCTGAGTTTCCTGCTGCCGGGAGAGGGATGCCTGGCATCTCCCACCCTCCCTGGACCTCACCCACCCAAATCCCTTGGTATCTAGCACATTTATCAACTAGTTTTATCTCAATAAATTGTTTCCCTTCCATATACCACCTGGTTAGGTTAGTAAAGTGTTGCCTAGAATAGAATAGAATAAATAGAATCGTTTAGGCTGGAAAGGACCTTTAAGTCCAACCGTCCCCCCTGCCATCCCACCACTAAACCCTGGCCCTAAGCACCTCGTCTACAAACTGAGCCGAAGATTTAAACGGTCAGGAATAGTCTATAACATATGAAAAGACCCCAAATGGCTTCCATAGACCTCTCCCTTCACTGTGAAAATAAAACCATTACGGCAGGGGCCTGCTCCCCTGGCACTGCGTGCAGATGGCTTGCTTCATTTTACTGACGGTTAGGTAAAAGCAACACGAAAAAAATAAGTTCTTAGTGTCTCACGCTGCCGCGACATCCGTTCCGGCGGGAGAGAGCCGGCGTGGTTTCCTCTGCTCTCTGCGTTTCCAGGTGGGCAGCAGTGCTGAGCTGAAAAATGTGGTTTTAGGGTCAGAAGTGAGTTCCTCTGGCGAAGAGATGGCGGAAACATTACCCTGATGAGCACTGGGTCTTTTCCTGGTTTATATGTTGTCTCTAGGAGTACTGGCTTG